ATCAAAATCTTATATTACACTTATTGTAAAGTAAACTTGTGGCATATTCCCAATAAAAAAAAAGAGTAAGCTGCCATTTAAATCAATTTCGCCCAAATTGGATTATCTTAGAACATTGTTCAAATGCAAAAAAAAACAACAGGTGAAATAAATCCAATAAGTTTGGCAACGTTGAATTTCCCCTTTTTTAATATTTCCATTCGGCGATATAAAGGGCGTACCTAATATACCTCTCTCTTTTTAAACAGCTGTTTCTCACTCCATCTCACGTAAGGTCCATACCGACCATAAAATTTTTCCTACACTGTATATATATATATATATATATATATATATACATATATATATATATATATATATATATATATATATATATATATATATATATATATATACACCCATTTGTATATACACCCATTATAGTTTTTTTTTTAAACCTTCATAATTAAAATAATTATCAAACTACAGACCCAACAATATTATTTATCAAATTTGTCCTTATTCGTAGCTCTGAATGCAAAAATTAGTATGCATCTCCTGATAGTTAACTGTTTAGATTTAGATAAACAGGAAAATTCCTTGGAGGTTTTTGTTTTAAAAACTGACTGGACTTTAACTTTATTTACAACAGCTACATTACAAGTATCATCGAACTTTAAAATATGTAAACGTTGGATTTATCTAGTACATGTGCAAAGTACATTTTTTTGGAATATGGGAACGAAACAATAAATAAAGATAAAAAATATTTCGCGGCGATATTGTGACAAAGGGTTTGAATGAGACACGTGTGGTAAAGCAAATTTATTATACATATTAATACATCAATGTATATATTTTCTTAAAATTCTTTTAAAAAACAATTCTATCAATTATTCTACTCCAGTCTTCACAAATTTGACCTCTAAAAATCACGAACAAGATAATTTCTGCTGAGAATGTAAATTGTGGGACTTTTTTTTTTGTGTTTAAATGACTGCGGACACTAAATCCATTCGCCAATCTTACAATTTGAGGTGTAGTGTGTGTGTGTGTGTGTGTGTGTGTGTGTGTGTGTGTGTGTGTGTGTGTGTGTGTGTGTGTGTGTGTGTGTGTGTGTGTGTGTGTGTGTGTGTGTGTGTGTGTGTGTGTGTGTGTGTGTGTGTGTGTGTGTGTGTGTGTGTGTGTGTGTGTGTGTGTGTGTGTGTGTGTGTGTGTGTGTGTGTGTGTGTGTGTGTGTGTGTGTGTGTGTGTGTGTGTGTGTGTGTGTGTGTGTGTGTGTGTGTGTGTGTGTGTGTGTGTGTGTGTGTGTGTGTGTGTGTGTGTGTGTGTGTGTGTGTGTGTGTGTGTGTGTGTGTGTGTGTGTGTGTGTGTGTGTGTGTGTGTGTGTGTGTGTGTGTGTGTGTGTGTGTGTGTGTGTGTGTGTGTGTGTGTGTGTGTGTGTGTGTGTGTGTGTGTGTGTGTGTGTGTGTGTGTGTGTGTGTGTGTGTGTGTGTGTGTGTGTGTGTGTGTGTGTGTGTGTGTGTGTGTGTGTGTGTGTGTGTGTGTGTGTGTGTGTGTGTTGTGTGTGTGTGTGTGTGTGTGTGTGTGTGTGTGTGTGTGTGTGTGTGTGTGTGTGTGTGTGTGTGTGTGTGTGTGTGTGTGTGTGTGTGTGTGTGTGTGTGTGTGTGTGTGTGTGTGTGTGTGTGTGTGTGTGTGTGTGTGTGTGTGTGTGTGTGTGTGTGTGTGTGTGTGTGTGTGTGTGTGTGTGTGTGTGTGTGTGTGTGTGTGTGTGTGTGTGTGTGTGTGTGTGTGTGTGTGTGTGTGTGTGTGTGTGTGTGTGTGTGTGTGTGTGTGTGTGTGTGTGTGTGTGTGTGTGTGTGTGTGTGTGTGTGTGTGTGTGTGTGTGTGTGTGTGTGTGTGTGTGTGTGTGTGTGTGTGTGTGTGTGTGTGTGTGTGTGTGTGTGTGTGTGTGTGTGTGTGTGTGTGTGTGTGTGTGTGTGTGTGTGTGTGTGTGTGTGTGTGTGTGTGTGTGTGTGTGTGTGTGTGTGTGTGTGTGTGTGTGTGTGTGTGTGTGTGTGTGTGTGTGTGTGTGTGTGTGTGTGTGTGTGTGTGTGTGTGTGTGTGTGTGTGTGTGTGTGTGTGTGTGTGTGTGTGTGTGTGTGTGTGTGTGTGTGTGTGTGTGTGTGTGTGTGTGTGTGTGTGTGTGTGTGTGTGTGTGTGTGTGTGTGTGTGTGTGTGTGTGTGTGTGTGTGTGTGTGTGTGTGTGTGTGTGTGTGTGTGTGTGTGTGTGTGTGTGTGTGTGTGTGTGTGTGTGTGTGTGTGTGTGTGTGTGTGTGTGTGTGTGTGTGTGTGTGTGTGTGTGTGTGTGTGTGTGTGTGTGTGTGTGTGTGTGTGTGTGTGTGTGTGTGTGTGTGTGTGTGTGTGTGTGTGTGTGTGTGTGTGTGTGTGTGTGTGTGTGTGTGTGTGTGTGTGTGTGTGTGTGTGTGTGTGTGTGTGTGTGTGTGTGTGTGTGTGTGTGTGTGTGTGTGTGTGTGTGTGTGTGTGTGTGTGTGTGTGTGTGTGTGTGTGTGTGTGTGTGTGTGTGTGTGTGTGTGTGTGTGTGTGTGTGTGTGTGTGTGTGTGTGTGTGTGTGTGTGTGTGTGTGTGTGTGTGTGTGTGTGTGTGTGTGTGTGTGTGTGTGTGTGTGTGTGTGTGTGTGTGTGTGTGTGTGTGTGTGTGTGTGTGTGTGTGTGTGTGTGTGTGTGTGTGTGTGTGTGTGTGTGTGTGTGTGTGTGTGTGTGTGTGTGTGTGTGTGTGTGTGTGTGTGTGTGTGTGTGTGTGTGTGTGTGTGTGTGTGTGTGTGTGTGTGTGTGTGTGTGTGTGTGTGTGTGTGTGTGTGTGTGTGTGTGTGTGTGTGTGTGTGTGTGTGTGTGTGTGTGTGTGTGTGTGTGTGTGTGTGTGTGTGTGTGTGTGTGTGTGTGTGTGTGTGTGTGTGTGTGTGTGTGTGTGTGTGTGTGTGTGTGTGTGTGTGTGTGTGTGTGTGTGTGTGTGTGTGTGTGTGTGTGTGTGTGTGTGTGTGTGTGTGTGTGTGTGTGTGTGTGTGTGTGTGTGTGTGTGTGTGTGTGTGTGTGTGTGTGTGTGTGTGTGTGTGTGTGTGTGTGTGTGTGTGTGTGTGTGTGTGTGTGTGTGTGTGTGTGTGTGTGTGTGTGTGTGTGTGTGTGTGTGTGTGTGTGTGTGTGTGTGTGTGTGTGTGTGTGTGTGTGTGTGTGTGTGTGTGTGTGTGTGTGTGTGTGTGTGTGTGTGTGTGTGTGTGTGTGTGTGTGTGTGTGTGTGTGTGTGTGTGTGTGTGTGTGTGTGTGTGTGTGTGTGTGTGTGTGTGTGTGTGTGTGTGTGTGTGTGTGTGTGTGTGTGTGTGTGTGTGTGTGTGTGTGTGTGTGTGTGTGTGTGTGTGTGTGTGTGTGTGTGTGTGTGTGTGTGTGTGTGTGTGTGTGTGTGTGTGTGTGTGTGTGTGTGTGTGTGTGTGTGTGTGTGTGTGTGTGTGTGTGTGTGTGTGTGTGTGTGTGTGTGTGTGTGTGTGTGTGTGTGTGTGTGTGTGTGTGTGTGTGTGTGTGTGTGTGTGTAGAGTAATCGTCTTGATACTTAGCAAAGTCGACGTCATTGTCTTTGCTAAGAGACGCTAATTGTATCCGAACGTCTGCGGTCCCTCCGGTGTGTACCGATCACACAAGGATAGAAATTATTTTCATTTATTAATTTTTTTTTTTAATAAACGAAAATTTCCACCCAGGTGGGATTCGAACTCACGACCTTTAGATTTAAAGGCAGGCGCTCTTACCACTGAGCCACAGAGGGGGTTATTTTGGGACTTTGCCACTCCTACCCTCCACCATAAGGTGGTGGCAAAAACTCTCCACTTCTTGTACCCAGCACCGATAGTGAGGTGTTGCCACTAGTACCTTCAGGTATAAATTATAGAAATTTTTTTTTTTAATTCTAATGAAATAACTTTGTTTATAAAAAAATAAAGACAAAGCATTTTTACAATATGTTTTGTCATTTCGTACAGGTATCATAATAATAATGATGGATTAACAAGTTATTTGCTCATTGAGGGACTTTTTATATTTTCTTATTGGATGGAAATGTGAAATATATATATATATATATATATATATATATATATATATATATATATATATATATATATATATATAATATTTATATATAACTATAACTATTTATGAAAAAGTGACTTGTGTAACAAAGTATAAAATAGCCCAATTTGCGACTTGCGATTTTCTTAAATTTTTTGTCGCAAAGACTTGTTAAAAGTAGCCCAATTGGCGATAAATCGCCCAATCTGGCCCCACTGGTGGGCATCAGCATTGCCAGGTCTATAAATTTTATTTCCCCGAATTCTGTTTTAAAAGTTCCCAGATTTTGAACAGAATTCCCCAGATTTATATATTTCAGTTATTGGAAACATACAATATTATTATAAAACAATATTTCATCACTTACACATAATTGTTAGTATTTTTATTTATCATTTCACTTTCTATTTGAAAATTAACAGCAGTTTTATTTTGAACTTGATTGACTCAGCAATCGAGATTCCGCAGTTCGGTCTGCAGTTCAACCTTTCGCGGTTCGCATTCGGACCGCGGTCCGTCTGTTGCCGACCGTTGGTTTACTGTATCAAATACCTTCTAAATCAGAAATCAAACAAATATATCTAAATCCTCTTAAGAAGGATCGATTTGTTTTACCGCCGTATCAAATTTTTTAGTACATGAGACAGCGTATTTTTATGCTGTCATTCAAAATTCGCAGAAGTATTTAAATGTCTGATTAAACTAATTAAGCATCCACGTGTATGAGCAGAACTAGACGACAATTAAAAAAGTCTAGACGAGCTCCCGTTTCCCCCACCGCGCGCCTTTTATCCCAATTCGATGATGCACTTTAATCTCACCTAATTACTTGAAATACCTCATTCGAAATTTGCATTAAAATTTATTAATATCAATAGCAAATCTCTTGTTATAAGAAAGACTTGTTTATAAGCGATTCATTTCGGGTAACTGCAGTATTTTGATTTGGCCTTCAGTGAAGAGAAGATGTGTCGTTCGTACGCGCTTGTGTTGCTACTCGCGGGCTATTGTTTTTGTTATAGCGTAAGTTTTTGGTTGTTTTTAATAATTAACGCGAAATGGGAGCACGCGGTGTTTGCGAATGCGTAATTTTAGTGAATTACGTCAAAAAATTATGTAAATGTTTGGCGGTGGAATTTGGGTTTGTTTTTTTATGTATTATAAAATCCAATCAAACTTGGTGTTGTTGGTTTTTGTGTGTAAATGCCTGCGGCCACTAAATCCATTTGCCAATCTTATAATTTGTACTCATTTTTTCATTACTCATTGTTTCCTATACAATATTATCCTAAATTCCTACTAATACTAATCCTACTAATCCTACTATTACTAATATTGATCTCTAATATATAGTTTTTTTTCTATTAGATGCTTTTTAGTTATTTATATATAAACTAAGTGATGAGGTCCTCAGAGTTCCACAGTAAACTCTTCTGCAGCTATCTACTTAATTCAATAGCTACTTTACTGTGGACTGTCCAAGTTCCTTTTTTTTTGTTTTATTTGTTTCTTAATTTTTTTTTATTTTTTATTTATTTTTTTATTTTTTTTTATTATTATTCTTTTTAATTTATTTTTCTTTTTTTTCCTTTAATTTCTAACAAATTACAAAGATAAACTTACTCTCTATTTACAATTACAATTTGAGTTTAATATCTAAAACATGTTTATACAATAATCTATATAAAAACTCGTTGTTTTCTACATATATTTGAAAGAGGTTCCTACATCTGTCGCTGTCTCCCTTCTCTCAACCATTTTCTCCATTTTTCTTTGTTCTTCCATTCTGAGTTTTCCAATCCTCTTCTTTCCATGGTTATATCTACCTCATCTCTGAAAGATCTTCTTGGTCTGCATCTTTTCTAAAAAAGGGCTCCACTCTGTTATTTTTGCTATCCAACGGTTTGGATCTGTTCGTCCGACATGTCCGTACCACGTTAATCTTTTTTCTTCAATGTAATTTAAGGTGTCTTTCTTTGTCTCCATTCGTCTTTTGATTTCGTCGTTAATTATTTTGTCCATTCTAGAAACTCTGCAGCTTCTTCTCCAGTAGTCCATTTCTGTGGCGTTCATTTTATTTCTGCTGCTGTTGTTTAAGACCCAATTTTCTGCTCCATATGTTAGAATGCTGCGAATCATCGTGTTCTAAATTCTTTTTTTGTTATATGTCTGTCCCATAGGATTGGAATCAGTTGTCTTAAAATTTCTGGTTTGACCCACTCGATTTTTAATTTCTTCTTCTGTAGTACCTTTATTTGATATATTGAACCCCAGGTATTTAAATTTATCGGTTCCCTTTATTTCACGCCCGTCATCCACTTCCAGGCTTCTTGTTGGTTCTTGTGTTGTGTTCAGATATTCTGTTTTGTTAATGTTTATTTCCATGCCATTGATATTATATTCTTCTTCTAGTTTTCGAACCATGTAGCTTAGATCTTCCTCGTCTTGTGCTATTATGACCTGATCGTCGGCGAAACTAAGGAGTATACAGATGGTCGTTCCTTATGGGTACTCCCATTCCCTCACATTTCCTTTTCCATGGCTTTAGGGCGTATTGAAGAAATATTTTAAAGAGCGTAGGTAAAGTCGAGCAGCCCTATAGGAGACCTTTTGTGGTTTTAAATGATTTTCCAAACTTGTTACCTACCTTGACTGTAACATTATTATGTGTGTACATGGACTTCACTACATAGATCAGCTTATCTTCTACTCCTATTTATTGCATGGCTTCCCACAGTCGTTGTCTGAGCACAGAGTCGTATGCCTTTTTTAGGTCAATAAAGGCTAGATGGACTGGTTTGTTCTTTGCCATCTTCTTCTATATTAGCTGTTGTATAGTGTAGATGTGGTCAACACAGCTGGTAAATCAGCTGTAAAACCTGCCTGGTAATCTATTTTATTTTGAAATTGTTTTTCTATTTTTTCCTTTATTATTTTTCCATATGTTTGGACTGGTTTGTTCTTTGCCATCTTCTTCTATATTAGCTGTTGTATAGTGTAGATGTGGTCAACACAGCTGGTAAATCAGCTGTAAAACCTGCCTGGTAATCTATTTTATTTTGAAATTGTTTTTCTATTTTTTCCTTTATTATTTTTCCATATAATCTTCCTATAAATAGTAAAATGCTTATGCCTCTGTAATTTCAACATATTCTTCTATCCCCTTTCTTGAAAATAGAGATAATATGGGCTGTCGACCATTCTTCAGGTTGTTGTTCGGTGTCCTCTCTGAAACATGGTAGGTATCATATGGAATTGGAGGTAGGTATCATATGGAGCCGTATTTAATTAGCTTGGGTGCTATCCCTCCGGGACCTGCAGACATTATGTTTTATTCATTTTATGTTCTTTTTTATTTCTTCCAATGATAAATTTAGTTGAAATCGTAGGCTTCCACGGCCAGAGTCAGAATTATAGTTTATTCGTCTTCCGGGTTTGGACCGTGTCATTTGTGAGTGACCCAAAAGTGGGTTCATCTCGACGTTTCGCTACAATTGTATGTAGCTTCTTCAGGAGAACAAACAAAGAAAAAAGAAAGAAAGAAGAAAACAAAAGAACAGGAAGATGGGTAGTTAGCAACGGTAACTCAGTTACTCAACGCAACCAGAGGCGAATACTAACTACCAAGATGGGCATTTGGTCACAGTAACTCAACTACTCAACGCAGCCAGAGGTGAAAACCAAATGCCAGGACAGGGATTCACGTCCAACAGCTCAGAACACTAACGCGTCGAGAGGCGGGGAGTGAATCCGAGGGATTCACTCCCCGCCTCTCGACGCGTTAGTGTTCTGAGCTGTTGGACGTGAATCCCTGTCCTGGCATTTGGTTTTCACCTCTGGCTGCGTTGAGTAGTTGAGTTACTGTGACCAAATGCCCATCTTGGTAGTTAGTATTCGCCTCTGGTTGCGTTGAGTAACTGAGTTACCGTTGCTAACTACCCATCTTCCTGTTCTTTTGTTTTCTTCTTTCTTTCTTTTTTCTTTGTTTGTTCTCCTGAAGAAGCTACATACAATTGTAGCGAAACGTCGAGATGAACCCACTTTTGGGTCACTCACAAATGACACGGTCCAAACCCGGAAGACGAATAAACTATAAATTTAGTTGTTCTTTTGTATTTGTTGGTGGTTGTTCTTTTTCCATGAATTTTGTTCGCTTTTCTGTCAGGAGTTCTTGGTAGTAATCATTCTACTGTTTTTCGTTTATGAAAGTAAAATGTGTTTTTTCCTGTTTGTTTTCTTTCAGACACTTTCCCGGATTCTGAGTTCTTTGAACCTCCTATGTATTGTTCGATGTTCATACATGTTCATCCCCAGTTATCATTTTTATCTTTTGTTATTAACCTTTTTACCTCTCTGTTCTTCTCTCTGTATCTTTCTAGGTCCACTTGTTCTTTTGAGCTTAACCATTTATAGTATAACTGTTTCTTCTGCTTAATACATTCTTCCGTGCTTTCTGATAGACGTTGTCGATATCTATTTGTTCTTCTCTCCTCGCAACCTAAGGCTTCCGCTGCTGCTTCCTTTATGCAGGATTTTATATGTTCATATGTTTTGTCTATGTTCTCAAAACTAAACTCCTCTAGTTTTTGGTCTAACCTTCGTATGTACAAGTCTTTGACGGATTGTTCCCTTAGCAAGTGTAGTTTGTACTTCGTTTCGGCCTGCGTTTGAATTTCATTTACCACTGTTCTTTTTGATTGATTTGTGGTTTTCCAAGGGAATCGCATGTTTGCTATCAGTAATTTGTGGTCAGAACCGCATTTCGCTCCACTTTTAACTTTGACATCTGTAACTCTGATCGATGTTTCGACTTTCATTATGAAGTAGTCAATTAAAGCTCGGAGGTTTCTTGTTTCTTGGGTCCAGGTGAACTTGTGTGAAAGTTTTTATACTATAATATTATTTTACTATAAGATCTAAATAAACTAAATTTATAGGATAGGCAGTCCTAAAACTAATATATTTATTAATAACATTAAAGAAAAAACACATTTATTATTAGAAACAATATTAGAACTTAAATGTACTTAGATACTTGATCCACTGAGTAAATAGCAGAAGTACCAAATTGTTTAAATTGCATAACGAAAAAGTGTAACCAATAACAAAAATAACACAATATATTGTTCTTGTTTATTAATAAGATCTACAATAACTATTTCTTGGTACAATTTTTATAAAGATCGTAAATCAAATTAAAAAAATTTGATTTTCACTACAAATGAACCTTAACGCGTCCTTCGCCTAGTACTTGGTTTTCTGCCTAGATCTGCATCTTTTACTTTTCACAAAATAATATTTTGATGTAAAAATGTCTATAAGCCTCATCAACAAAAATTAACTGTTGTTTTAAATTGTTAATTTTTTCTTCGGTCAAAGTGTTTGTTTTGTTAGCCATTACTGGTAAATTGAATTCTGGTTCTGTAACTACTTTTGTATTTTTAAGGATATCTACTTTTAGGAAAGGTGTGAATGGATCCAGTGTTTTTTTTTTGTACATATATTCACCATATTTTTTAACACGAATCCATTTTACCTTATCCCTCATATTTATTTTTCTTTGTTAGAATCCTTTTTTTCTGTTAAATAAATGCAAATTGTTTGTAATTTCTTTAATATTTTTACAGTGATTTTCCATGTTGATAACAATCGATCCTGTCTTACTCGATTCCGAAATAACGTCTTTATACTAATCTGGACTGAACAGATTCTCAATTTTTCTTAGCTTTTTCTCCATTATTTCAAAATCTCTATCAGAATCTAGGAAGGAATGTCCTACTTCCGGAAACTTATGGTCAATAACCTTAACATATTTTTTTAAAATAAGATATTGATATACACATATCAGATTAAAGTTTTTGTTCTGGCTAGCACAAGAATTAGACCACATGATAAGATGATATATTTTCTTGTTTCTACTAGATTACACTCACACAAATTTGTGCAGAGAACTACTTACTTCTAAGCTGCCCTTTGTGGCTACATTTTCACTCCAATTAAAAAAGTAGGCCTTATCACCTTTATGTTATGCTGTGAATTACAAGATTGTGAAGAACCACATCTGCCTTAGATAAAAAGCTTTTGAAGTTGTAAGTCTTGGTAGTGGCATAGTCTGTTGCAGGTCTATGGTCATATAACATATGTTTTTATTGTTAGGCGCATATTGCCTGTCTGGTTTCTGTTGGTCAAAAGCAAAATGGAAGGTTTCTTATGCTCATCATTTCCCAAACCTGCATCACAGGTAGAACAAGTGTCACTCTTGGGCTGCCCAAATGACAAATTAAATTCTGTAATGAAAATGTTACAGTAGGAACTCTTTGTTTTTTCTTAATTTCTTCTTTGTTAAAAACTTCATTTTTGACATATTTAAAGGGAGATAAATACATTTTGTTAGCATTTTTGTTTCTGGAATAGTGAGTCATGTCAGCAGGAAAAGGTACGATGTGTTGTTTTGATTACATCAATCACTTCTTGCGGAATTTTGTTAGGTACAATACAGTTTACAAACAGATCTTATGCTTAACAGGTTATTGAATAACTAAATGTGGCAGATTTATTCTTTGTTGCATTTTTTCTATAACGGTGAAATGGTTTTATTGAAATAGACGTAAAAAGTATAGCATTTTTTATATTTTGATCCAAAGCATAAAATTTGCTAAATATTGTCTCTCTCTCACTTTGGTCAAATTGTTGGTCGAAATTCTTTTAACATTTATTCTCTTTACATAGATACCCAAGCTCAGAATTTTTGTTTGGATTTTCTTCTTTGGTTTTAAAGATATATAAGGTTCACCTCGTTGTCTAGCAATGGCAGACTTATATTTCTTCCATGTCTCAGGGCACAGATTTAGTTTTTTACATTTTTTTTTCTATTAAATCAAATATTTTTTTCTTGATCTTGTTAATCCTATCATTTTGAAACGTTAAGGCTACAATAGATATGCCCTTAAAAGACTCGTTTTACTCACCCAGATCAGAATTTTGCGGATTATATTCATCAGAGGTATTCGCAGTAGATGGCATTGCCTCGAGAAAGCATGAATGTATCTTCTGCGGTGACGTGTGTTTTTCGTTTTTTACATTTTTTTTCGGATAAATCAAAAAATATTTTTTTCTTTACCTTGTTAATCCTAAAATTCTGAGAGGTTGAGGCTATAATAGATACATCTGAAGGAAACGCGAAGGTTTCTTTTGCGATGGCGTCTGCTTTTGTGGAATCACTTTCATTCTCTTAACTAGTAGTGTTCTCAAAAAAACTGATACCTCCAGTTCAGAATTTTTCGGATTATATCCATCAGAGTTATCAGATGTAGAAATTGTGTTATCATTCGAGGAAAGATCTGGAGTTTTCTCTTTTTCGGTGAAAATTGCAGCAATATCCGGAAAAAAAATACAAAACTAAATATATTTTTATCTACCAAAATGTTAAGCTAATCTTATCTTCTGGCCTGCTTTTTTCACCTCCATCTTTTAACTCCATATAATGGCTTGTTTCATTATCGGGTTAATCAAGTCCTCCTTTCTTAACTTCATTTTCTTCATCTGTAGCTTTAAGTTCTACATACTGGTTTGTTTCATTTTCCGTAATCTCTTTTTTTTTTTAATTGACTGTGCTATTTTGGTTGATCTAAAATAGGTAAGAGGTAAAAAATATTTTTCAATATAAATTTTAAAAACAAATAAAAAATACCAAGAAAAGTTAATATAAACAAGAAATAACCTTAAAGGACCAATCACTTTTAAAATGGCTTTTGTAACATGATAAATTATATTTACTTTTAATTTTACTTACCTTTATATTGTTTTTGAGCTAATCTAACAATGTATTTACTTCTCAACATTTTTTTCATAAGATTAGCACACCGTCTAGATGTAAATAATAACTACATAACCTTACTTTTAGGATCTATGAGAAGGAAAAAATCAGTGTATTCAATTCAAAAAATTCCCGCAATACTTGTGGGCTGTGTTTAACTAATTCGTTCGGTATACCTCGTGGTCAATTTCGTATTGCATTTTCGACTTACTTTACTGTTATTTCATTGTGTTCTACTTCATATTTTGTCTTGTTTCAGTCAGAAGTTGTGAGAGAAATGTTCGATCCAAGATCTTTCTTCTATTAAATCTGTTCTACTCACTTCTTCTCTGTTTGTTCTACGGTTTTTACTGTTTCCATGCTTCTATTGATCTAGTTGACCCTGTATATTTGTTGATCTCTTCGTATTTACTTTCCCAGGAAACATTTTTTGCTTTAGTTACTAGACTTTTTACTTCTCTGTTTGATCTTGCGTATATTTGTCTATCATCTGGGTCATTTGTTTGCAGCCACTCTGATATGCTTGTTTCTTATTGTGTACTGCATCAGCGATGTCATTTGTCCACCACGATGGAGTATCCTTTTTGTTCCTTTGGATCGTACCGAATGCTTCATGAGCCGCTTCATCGGCTTTATGTAATATATCTTCGTAGGTATTCTGGCTAAGTCATAATTTATATAAAAATGATGTTGAGCTGTTTTGCAGTGTATCAATATTATATTTGGATGGATTCCTTTTCAGTGGTTTTGATTGTGCTGGTTGGTTGTCATTTCGATATAGCAGTTGCAGTCAATACTGTAGGTAACATTTTGATCTTACTATCTAGTGGTCAGTTTTGCACTCCAGGTCTCTTAACACTCTTACGTCTTCGACTTGTATGTGTGTTTCTTGTTTTGTTGAATGTTTTTCTCACGTTGAATACATTTTAAATTTATATAAGATACGCAATTCATCGCAATAATACATCGCAAAATACATCAAAATAAACAGGAATACAAGGAAATCCAACGTACGATAAGGGCAAGAATTAAAAACGCAAAGGAAAGTTGTATGAAAGAACGTTGTGAATAATTTGAATCACTACAAGAAAAGGGAGACAGCTTTGGACTACATAAAAAGGTCAAAGACATTTCGAGTATATACAAGACACACCATGAGACTCACCTGAAGAATGATCAAGGAAACTACGTTCATACCCAGAAGGAACTAGCTAAAATCTGGGCAAACTATGCTTCGTCCCTTTTTGCGGATAATAGACTGAATCTGTCAACTACTAACTTACCCACGGAAAATTTATCAGGCCTTCCCATTATTCGCGCCGAGGTGGAGTACGCTATAAAAGTAGTAAACTAGGTAAGGCCCCTGGACCGGATGGAATTACTACAGAAGCCATAAAACTGTTGGAAGATGATAACATCGACATGCTGGTAAAAATTTTCAATGCTACATATAACACCGGCTACATTCCAACGGATTGGCTTTATTCAACTTTTATAGTGATCTCTAAAAAACAAAGAGCGACAAAATGCAAAGACCACAGACTGATAAGTTTAATGAGCCATTTGCTTGAAAGCTGGAAGATCTAAGCGGTGAGACACAATTTGGTTTCAAGACCGGACTGGGTACACGTAAAGCAGCTTTCTGCTTGAATACGCTTGTACAAAACTGCATGGATTGACGAAAGGAAATAGTCACAACATTTGTCGATTATGAAAAAACGTTTGACACTGTAAAAAATTGGACGCAATGATAATCAAACATATATGGCTTGAAGATAAATGCTGTAAAACTTAATACATGGCAATAACAAAAAACGCACTTTTGAAAATACAACTGCAAGTAGATTAATGCTCCAATCGATCAAGTAAAAACATTTAAATACTTGGAAATGATGATGAATGACCAATGGGATCATCCACAAGAAATAAAATACTGTACCAAACATACAATGTTCGCAATCTTTCCTTCAATCTCCGCTACAGGATGGTTAAATGCTATGTATGGTCCATATTGTTGCACGGCATGGAAACATGGACGTTAAGAGTACCTTTCATTAATAAATTAGAGGCCCTCGTAATGTGGACGTTGCGAAGAATGTTCCACATACCATGGATAGATAGAGTGAGAAACAAAGAAGTCTTAAGAAAGGCAAATACTGAGAGAGAACTACTGAATTCGATCAAGATACGAAAAATTGGATACCTCGTCTATATTCTGAGAGGAAAAAATACGCAATCACTCAACTAATCATCCAGGGAAATATTGAAGGCAAGAGAGGAGTAGGTGGCAAATAAATGTCGTGGCTACGGAACATAGAGAACTGAACAGGCATAAATAACACTGGCGATCTTTTGCATGCCGCAAAAGACAGACGTCACCAGCGCACTATAAGTGTACCGCACTATAGGAAGAAGACAAAAATACAGAAGATAAAAATACAGAACATGATATGAGCAAAGAAGCTGTCTAACGGGCCTTATTGGTGTATATTTTCAGCAATGTTTATTTATTTAAGTAGATTTTAGTTACTATCTACAACAAGCTGTTTTTAAATTATTTTTAATAATTTTTTTACTGAATACAAAATTTTGTTGTAGATGAAACCGCTGGATAATGCCTGTGGATGGCAAGTTCCAACGTTGAATGGCGGTCCTAGGTCAAAATTGTATGATCCAGAGGCTATCAAAGTTTTCTGTAAAATACTTCGTAACCACGTAAGTAATGAACACACAAACAAATTGAATAGGGGATGATATTTATTACCAATTCAAGAAAATGAACTTTGTAGAATAATTTTTAGGCTAGCCTGATGATTTTAAAGGAATAACTGGTCTCAAATTGTTAAGAATGTTTTAAAACGCCACCCAGAGATTGCAAAAGGAAAAAACAAAATATAAACCCTGGAAGAGCAGCCAAACTTGATAAGTTTGTAAATAGTAAAAAACTATTTCAACAGGTTAATAGAGGTGCTGTCTAAATTGGGGACATGTTTAATAAACCTCATATCATTTGCAATATGGATGAGAAACAATATTCTTCTCTTTATTAGCAGCAATCTGCCTATGCTAAAAAGATACATATGGTTGCCCCTGAACATGATCAACATTGTGAAAATGGATACACCACTTTGTAAAGTTCAAAACGCAAGATCCCGTTCTTCATATTTTAGATAGATCTAAGTTTTATCTTTTTTCTCTCTGAGTGTAAAAATTTCTAAAAACCGTATCAGGTTAACTCATCTCTAAGGATGGCTGACGTGTATTGGATTCAGAGTAGAGGAATACATCCAAGCCCATTTCGCCTTAGAGGAAGGAGGTCCTTCCTGTTATAATAATGGTTCAGCTGGGTTTTATGCCACAGGCGTCTATCCGTTGTTATCCCGGAACAAACAAAATAATAAAAATGATGAAAAAACTCCATCACAATCAAAGACCAATGATAGTACCCAGGCACTAATGATAACAACGAAATAAAAAAAATCTTCTGTTAAGAAAAAGTGTGACAAAAAATATTTATTCTTCAACTTAAGCACAACATCAGTTTTTCTGAAGCTGTTCTGGGAACTTTCTTTTAGGAAATTCTTCAAACCCTAAAGTGAAAAATAAAATAGTCAAGCCACGAACAATATCTCTTAATTATACAGCTGTTATAGTAACTAAAGCTCTATTTACTGAAAAGGAAATTAAGAACTATAATAAGGACGATCTGTCAACTCAGAAATACTGCCTAACATAGAATCCTTCGAAATAAAACAAGCTATGGTACAACTAAAGAATAATAAGGCTCCAGGCCCAGATGGAATAAATGTAAATGGATAAAAACTCAGTCTTTTGAGATACGCTGATGACATTGTAATATTCCCTACAAGTTTCCAATAACTACAGACCATGATAACGCACCTATTTAAAACTTCGGAAAAAGGTACGATGAACTTAGGAAGGTCTTACGATGAACTTGGAAAAAAACCAAAATAATGGCAAATACAACGAACATTAGAAAAATAACGTTGAACGACATAAATTTAGAAACAGTAAGCGAATACATCCACCTGGGACAGATAATGAAAGTTAACAAAGAAAATCAAACTGCCGCAATTACTAGAAGAATAAGGTTAGCGTGGGCAGGATTTGGAAAACTGAGTTGGATCTTAAAAAGCGCTAAAATAGAACAATATTTGAAAACCAGAATTTACGATCAGTGTATCCTCCCTATAATCACGTATGGTTTACAGACCTGGAGACTTACCAAGTCTAATATGAATAAAATAGTAAAGACACAAAGAGCGATGAAAAGATTAATGCTCGGGGTGAGACTTATAGACAAAAAACAAACAAATGGATTAGGCCAAAACCAAAATAAAAGACGTAGGAGAACATGCTGCCAAATTAAAATGGAGCTTCACATGACACAACGCCTGACTGAAGGATAAAAGATAGAACCACGAAATACAACAATGGAGATCATGGTTAGGAAAAAGAAGCAGAGGAAGACCACAAATGAGATGGGCTGATGACATTAAGAAGATGGGAGGACACAACTGGAAGCAAGTGGCGTAAAATAGAAAACACTGGATTGATTTGGGGGAGGCCTATGTCTAAAGTTGGATTACTTAAGGCTGAAGAAGAAAAAAAAACAAGACAAAAACCTGTTAAGGATAAAGGAAAACAAACCAAACCGAAAGAAGGAGAATATATAAAATTGAAATCCCCCAACTGACAAGAAAAAGTAAAGAGAAAATTCAACCTTTATTAAAAGATACTCTTGATGCATAAGTAGATTGCAGTCTCAGGTTTCAAACTCAGGAAAAAAGAAGGGAATTGATTGTGCTACTTATATTAAGAGAATCAAACAGCAGGTAGGAGGCTGTGCACCAATTGCCTTAAATATGTTCGAAATAATTAGAAGAGTCGAGAATGAGGGTGACATTACCTTTGTCGGCCGGAATGATGACAATGTCAGGTTTGTTATAAAGTTCTTTGAGGACACGTCTTTATTCTTTTTCTTCTTAGGGTGCCTGTCCGTTCCGAACGTTGGCGATCATTCTGGCTATGATGATTTTGTTGGTTGCTATACGAAATAGCTTTGTTGAGGTCTTTCTATACCATGCTCTCAGGTTAGCAAGCCAGGATATTCTTCTTCGTCCTGGGGCTCTTTTCCTTCAATTTTATCCTGGAAAATGCATTGGAGTAGCTCGTATCTGCCTTGATTTCTCATAATATGTCCCAAGTACTCCAGCTTACGGCTCTTCACAATGTTGACCAAATCCGCGGTTGTGTTCATCCTCCGCAGTACTTCTTTATTGGTGACTTTGTCTGTTCGTGGTATCTTCAGGATTCTTCTGTATAACCATAATTCAAACGCCTGAAGTTTTGATAGAGTTTCCGCCTTCAATGTTCACGTTTCTACTTCATACAGAAGCACTGAGTATACGTAACATTTAAGGAGCCTTATTTTTGTTTTCAGGGTGAGGTCATGGCTTTTGAACACAGAGCTCATAACCAAGAATGCACTTTTGGCCTTTCCGATGCGACATTTAATCTCTTGGGTATTGTCCCACCACTCATTGATTATAGTTCCCAAGTAATTGTATTGTGAGACACGTTCAATTCTCATTTGGTTCACATACAGATTTGCTCCAGTTATGTTTTGCTTGCTGATGATCATTAGTTTGGTTTTGCTGGTGTTTATATCCAGTCCATAGGTTCTACTTGTTTCTGTTATTTTGTTCATTAAGTTTTTACGTCTTTATGAAAGACGCATATTCGACGGTGGAGGTTTGGAAAAAAGGAGAATTCTGGCACAATCTTGTCTGGCCACTTCAGCTGGGTCGGAAGGAAGATGAGAAATAGCTTCTTCAGGTTGACAAATAATTTTCTCAGTTGGGATGGAAAGAGGAGTGACAAAAAAATTGAAGCCTTTTGACAGAGTTTTGGTAGCTGAATAGGATAGGTGAATATCTGATCAATTGCGTACAATAGTAGAAGGTTATTGATTTGAAATGAACTATGGATTTTGCTGAGAGATAAGTTGGTCCAGTTTGCGTTTCTGTGTTTAGGTTTTGTTGTCAAAAATGTGTTGGGCTATTTGGTGAGAAAGACGATCGAAAGTGTCCCATACAATGGATGGATATTAAAAGAGTGGATGTCATTGTAGGTTTTAAAAAGTTGGAAAATTATTGTATCTCAGTTGCGTCTGGTGGAATGAATTCAATTTCGAAGAACCAAAAAACAGTTATTCTAAGAAGTTTGGAAATTGATGAAGATTTAGTGTGATGTTTATTTTAAAGAGATTTTGGAATGACTTGATTGTCACAACATGATTTAAGTAAAGCAAGATCACAGAGAAGACGGTATTTGCGTGTTGGAAGATTAGATTAAGAAAATTACATAAAAGATTTGTTTACGGATTATCGTCATATTTCTACGAACACTTTTGATCGGAATGGACCAAAAATATTGAAAAGTGAGGTGATAAAAGCTGTAGATTAAACGAAAGATGGGAAAGCAACAGGATGCGATGAAATACCAGTCGAATTTTTAAAAGTTTTTAACGAGAACAACCTAAATGTAGTATTGGAACTGTTTAATAAGATATACGATACTGGTCAAATTTTATCGGACTGGTTGAAATCTACATTTGTGCCCCTTCTCAAGAAATCTAATTCTAAGACGAGTAGTCACACCCTTAAAGTATTATTGCGTATTATCCATTCCAGAATATGAGCAAAATTAGAACACAGCATAAGTAAAACACAGTTCGGTTTTAGACGGGGTTTTGGAACTCGAGAGCCCCTCTTTGCAATACAAGTCTTGATTCAAAATGCCTGGATCAACAGAAAGATGTTTACGCCTGTTTTATCGACTATGAGAAATCATTCGATACTATCAAACATGACAAACTCATAGAATTATTACATCTTACAGGACTTGACACTAAGGACATCCAGATTATAAAAAATCCATATTGGAATCAAACAGCCCACATGAAGAATGGACATATGGTGAGTGAAAACGTAACCATTTCGAGAGGGGTTCGAGAGAGGAATACAGGACTGTATTCTTTCGCCACTGTTTTTCAACCTGTACACGGAACAAATATTTCTAGATTCACTGGAAGAGTACAACGAGGGCATCAAGATTAATGACGTACCAATAAGTAATTTTCGATATGCAGATGATACCGTTATACTGGCTGATAACATCGAAGATTTACAGATGATGCTAAATAGAGTAAATAGAACTAGCAGCCGATTTGGACTGAAGATCAATAGAAAGAAAACCAAATTTATGGTGATCAGTAAAAAGAACATTCTGAATTTTGAAGCCGAACGTATTGAAAGAAAAGAGTACACCGATTTAAATATCTGTGATATACAGTAAATGATAAGTGGGACCCAAACGTAGAGATTAGGATCCGAATTGAAATAGCAAGATCCAAATTCATCTAATTGAGAAAGCTCTTAAGCAACCGCAACCTAAGCGTTAACCTCCTATGGCGCGCCACGAAATGCTACGTACTTTTTACGCTACTTTACGGAGTAGAAGGGTAGACGTTAACAGCAGTAACTATAAAGCAGTTAGTGGCTCTAGAAATGTGGCTGTATTGACGCATACTGAGAATACCTTGGACATACAGAGTGACCAACACAGAGGTATTAAGACGAATGGGTAAAGAGGTGGAATTATTAACAACTGTTAAAAGGAGGAAAGCGTCA